CACACTGCCGTCCTCCACCTCACACTGCCGTCCTCCACCCCACACTGCCGTCCTCCACCTCACACTGCCGTCCTCCACCCCACACTGCCGTCCTCCACCCCACACTGCCGTCCTCCACCTCACACTGCCGTCCTCCACCCTGGCCCACTGTCTGCTTGTCCTTGGGGTCGCTCTGCAGACTCTGTGGCAGTCCACGGTGGTCCCTAACCGAGCGTGCCCTGAGGCTGCCCCCTGAGTCTGCCCTGTCTGTGGAAACAGCCCCTTGTTTGGATCCCTGTGGAATTCACTGACTGTAGCAGGAGGTCAGGGCGGCGTCCTGTGCTTTCACATGTGATGACTCCCTGCCTGTCATTGGGTGATGGCCCAGGTGATCTGGAATTGGCTGTAAGCAGCCCCGTTGTCATGATGCTGGCCGGACCAGGTGGCTCAGGGCAGCCGGACCCCACTCTTAGGGCTTGGCCCCTGTGAAGGGTTTGTGGGGTGCTTGCACTCATGCATGTTAATCTGGTGAACCAGGCCTTGTGCCCTCGGCCACACCGTCACGGCCACTGATCTCAGAGGACTCTCACTGTGGACTCAGGCTCCGGGCTGTGTCTCCCAGCAGTGCTGCCTGGCCAGCTGGACCCTTCCAGGCCCTCGTTCTCTGGGAAGCCGTGCTGCGAGTGAAGTGGGGTTTGAATGCTGCCCTTGGCCGGCGCTGCGTGCTCAGGGCCCGGTGCCGCGCTCTGGGCCAGGCTGGTGTGGATCCCCGAGCCCGGGTCCCGGTCACCACCAGGAGTGGGTGGAGGGCTCATGGATGGTGGGCATGGCAGGTGGTGACCTGTGAGCACTGGTTGGCGAGGACCTGCCGCAGGCCAGAGGACCGCTGGGAGCCGTGGGGAGGGTGGCAGTTAATGTGGGTGGACCTCCATCTTTATCACGTGCACCTCCAGCTGTGCCTCACCCTTCTCCCTGCTGCCCGCCTTCACTTAGGAGAACTGGGGTGCACTCACGGGAACTCGAGTGCTCTGGGGCGGGTTTGGGACCATGTGATGGTGCAGCACCCAGGTCAGCTCTTAATTCAACACAGACTTAGTCTCTCAGTCCTCGGGTGAGACTTTTAAGGATTTGAACTTTTAGAATTTTTCTTCCTGTTACAGATACTTGACATCTGTTAGTTATTAATGAGTTGGGCTTCTGAGTCCTTCATGCTGAAGTTAAGATAGAAAGCTTTAAAGCCCCTTGTCCTCCAGGACTGGGAGTCCCAGGGCAGTGAGGAGAGCAGGGTGAGGTGGCCTCGTCCGAGATGAGGTGGATGGGGTGAGGTGAGGTGGGTTGATGGCCGCTGATGCCCTGATGTTCCTGGCAGGTGTGCCTGGTGGGACGGTCCAGGACGTACCCGGCCGCTGAGGAGGCGTCGGTGGACGCACAGAGGACAGTCTACATTCAGAGTCAGGGGGGCCCCAGGAGACAGCCGTGCTCGGGGCCCCTGCAGCCTCCCCCCGAAGCCCAGGAGGTGGGGACTGAAGCCCAGCCTCCAGCCCCAGGGGCGTCTCCGTGTAGACTGTGGGTGCCGGGGTTCCGGCCTCGGGAGAAGGTGGAGCGCGTGAGGAACTGCGCCTCTGTCCCGAGGGACCTGGTGGACCGGGTGGTTCTGCAGGTGGCCCAGCGACTGCTCAGCACCGGGGAACCCCATGCCAACGGAGGTGGGACTCCCTGGAACCCAGGAGGTAATGTCCCCAGCCTAACGTGACCCTCAGGGACACAGGGCAGGAGTGGGGCGTGCTGGTCACTGTGTCCTGAGAGCTGGGGTTCCTGCAGGCTCGGGGACCTGGGGACCTGGGGTGGGCATTGCGTGGCTAGGCCAGCCCCACGGTGGCCACCCTGAGGAAGGACAGAAAGGCCCAGGGACACAGGGCCCTGTGGGTGGAGGCGCAGGTTTCGGGGCAGCAGTTGGTGCTGCGTGGGGACATGGAGCTCCCCTTGCTGGTCCTGACAGTGCATGGCGGGCTGTCCTGTGAGCAGTGGCCCGAGGGCGCTGGGGCACGTGGCAGGGACCTCGGGCCACCAGGAACTGTGACCACAGGGACAGCAGCCTTCCAGCTGGGGTGGTGCCTGGCCACCAGGGAGCTGGCTTCAGATGCACGGTGTGGGGTGCAGTGGGGACTGACCCCGGGCTCAGCAGACATGCTGGGCTCAGAGCAGAGTCTCCACCGAAAGCAGTGAGCTGGCGGGGCTCGCCCCACTTTGTACCCGCTCCCCTGTGGGCGGAGCTCGCCCCAGTGGCTCCTGCCCTGCTGGTTGTGGGGAGCAGCCGTGTGGGGCCCACAGAAGGGGTTCCCTCACTGGTTTGACTGCAGCCCTCCTGGGCTGCGCAGACCTGTGGCAGCCGTGTCTGGGAGCTGGGGGCACCCTGAGGGTTGGGGTGGTGTGGAGCCGGGATGTGCCAGGTATAGGAATGTCTCCCGTAGCCGGGCTGTGACGTTCTCTCTGTGGACCTCGCTCCCCAGGAAGCCTCTCCCTGACGGAAATTGCCGGTGAGCTGGACCAGGAGACGTTGCAGCAACTGAAGAGGGAGTGCGGGGGCCTGCAGACACTGCTCCGCAACCACCACCAGGTGTTCTCAGGTGAGGGCTGTGCACCCCACAGGCAAGACCACGGTCTCCGCCCTCTGGGAGCAGTGGGGCTGGGCAGACAGACGTGGTACCCTGGCCCTGGGCACACAGCAGGGTGGACGCTGTCACTGCACACGTGGGGGCTGTGTTGGAGAACGTGGCCTGTGTCTCAGGACACAGGATGGTGGACGCTGTCACTGCACACGTGGGGGCTGTGTTGGAGAACGTGGCCTGTGTCTCAGGACACAGGATGGTGGACGCTGTCACTGCACACCCAGGGGCTGGGGTGTGAGGATGTGACCTTTGTCCCTGGACACAGCAGGGTGGACGCTGTCACTACACACGTGGGGTTTGTGGTGGAGGACGTGGCCTGTGTCCCTGGACAGGGAGGACTGGTATCCTCGCCCCCTCCCTTTTATTGTCCGAGCATGTTTCTGTCTGGTCTCACGGGACAAGCCCGTCTTGCACTGTAAGCGCGTGTGACGTGGTTTCTGTGCAGGTCATGTGGGGACGTGTCTGTTCCTGGAAGGAGAAGGTCTGGGGGTGGGGCTGCAGGGAAATGTGGCCTCCGGTCAACCAGGCAGTCACCAAGGGGGGACTTCAGCCAGGAGGCACTTATTTTCTAAATAATACCGATTGACTTTTTACAAACAAAAGTAAGTTATTTCAAATTTATTTAAAAGTAAGTTTATTAGACATTTTCTTGAAAAATAAAAACAGCCACTGTTGTTAGTTGATCCAGCTTCACAAGAGGGGGGCTGACTTCACAGCAGAGGCCGCCCCCTCCTCTGACTTGGCCGGGTCGGGCTCCTCTCCAAAGAGCAGCTGGTGGGTCAGGACCGGGTCTTCTCAGCGGGCAGCCAAGCTCCTCACCGCCTGCCCACTCGAGCTCCTGCTAGAACAGCGGTTCAGAGGCAGAGCTTTCCAGTAGCCGCGGCCTCCCCTCTGGATGCCTGTGTGTGGGCACCGTGCCCACCTTTCCCCTGCAGTGTCCCCATGCCTGGCAGCCCCCCAGGAAAGCCCCCTTTGTGGAAGTGGGAGCACGTGACGTGCCCACCCTGGGCCAGATTGCTGCCCTGCGCCACCCCTGGCCTGGTGAGAACTGTGCAGGACAGGTGTGCTGGTCGCATCCCCAAGGCAGGTGCAGAGCACAGGGGCAGGGTCACTCACCCAGCTGTCATAGGACGGGATCCCCAGGGATCCTAGGTGTATGGTCTCACCCAGGTATCCCGGGGCGGGGTCCCCTGGGATCGAGGCATCTGGGGTGCGTGTGTGTCGTCTCCTGTCCCCACCCCACCCGCCGACCTTGCTGCCCAGCCGTCTCTCAGAGCCGGTCGTCAGCCTGCTCTGGTCGGGCATCTGCTTGGGTTGTTCTCACCTTGAGCCCTCAGGGCGTTACCTGCATGAGGCGGCTGCTGACGAGTCCTCCCGTCCCGACGTCACGTCCTCCGTCCGGTCCTCCTCAGCCTCGGTGAAGTTTTCAGTGGGTTGTGCACAGTTGCACGTCCGGGAATAACACGAGTGACACTGCTGGAGCATGTTGGCTGATCCCAGCGGACCCTCCCTGCTCTCGGTGACGCCAGGGTTTGCTTACGGGGCACGGTTTGCGGCTGTCTTTGAAGCAGGAGGAGGTGACGTTTTTACCTGGTGCCATCCTGCACCAGGGAGCGTCAGCCGCCATCATTCAGTTTTCACGAAGTACCAACTTCGAGACCTAAATTCGCCCGAGTGTTCGGGGCAGCCATCGGACCCCGTGGAAGGAGCAGGTCGACCAGGTCCGCTGCCGCTTCCGGTGCCGTCACGGTGCTCCCCTCACCTGCGCGCCCGACTCTGTGTCTTCTCATTAGGTCAGAAATCTGGCATCTGCGTTAGTGCAGGAACGTCGGTGATTGTTCTCACTGCTCCCTCTGGTTTTCACGGTACCGGAGTGGAGGCCCGTTGGGACAGAACCACAGTTGGCTGAAATCTTGTCCGTGTTGTCTATCACCGCCACTGTCCCCAGGTTTTCAGCAAGGTCTAGCCACCCCTTCAGTGAGGGTCAGAGTCATCTTTTCACCACGTCAAGGACCCAGCGGCACAGAAAGCCCGCCATTGTTTGTGCCGGATGCGTCTTTCCTGTCCTGTAGACCCCACCTGTTACCATCAGGGTTCTGACACCAGTCTGAGCGCACTCTCCTGGAGCGTGTCGTCATGGCGGGGGGTAGACTCCTACACACTCCGCTGAGCGTGGGGTCTGTCAGTGATACCAGCACCGACCGCCTCACCTTGACCTCTCAGTGCAGCCGCAGGTGGGACAGGTGGGACCTTTCCCGACTTGAACTAGGCGGAGCCCCCGTGCTCGATGCACAGTTTCCGGTGAGCACAGTTGGGTGGTCTGGGATGGCCGTTCTCTCAGTGTGAGTGTAACTTGCTGTGTTTCACATGGTCACAAGCCTTTGCGAGTCAGTAAATCGTGGGTAGACCTCTCCCTGGCATTTGCTTCCAGCCCATCTGACCTCAGCAGTGATGTCCTTTGTTCTCGGCCTCTTGAATCTAGCTTGAGTTTGCGTCGATCTGTTGGTGTACTCTTCTGGCTGTTTTTGGATAATCTTCAGGAAGATTTTGCTCGCGTGTGGTATAAATGACACTGTTTGAATTTCCATATTCTGTTGGGTCGCCCTCCTTGGGAACAGGATGAATCAGGGTCTCTGCTGTCTGTCGGTCAGGTAGCCACCTTCCAGATTCCGGGGTGCAGACTGGAGGGCAGGTGCTGCCTGGCACGCTGTCCAATGCCTGGGCCTTGTCTTTGCGGGCGCCGTCAGTGCTGCGCGGCCTTCCTCCTGGCCTGCTGGCTCTTACCACGTGCTGCTTCCTACAGGGTCCGTGGCAGCCAGTGCCGTGGGCCAGGGTGCATCATTCAGTGTTCTGCCCATAGCCCTGCAGCGTTAGGACTTGAGGCTTGAATTTACCCTTCCGTTCTTTCAGCCCAGCCTGGTCTTCTCTTCTGGTTTTCACGTCGGCCCTTGGCACATCTTGATCTATCTTTCCTCGGCTTCCGGGCTGCCCTTTGGTCCGCTCTCTTAGTTCACCCTTTCTGCTTTTGGGCTTTGGCTTCTCTGCGTTCAGGAGGAGCTGCAGAGTCTGCTGACTTCCCCATGGGTCTCCCTTTCCCGCCTCGACTGACCTCAGGCTGATGAACTTGACGTCTTTCCACAGCTCCCGGCTCTTGAACCATTAGTGTTGAGGGCAGCAGGGCAGTGCTCGGGTTGGTTTATTTTATCGGGTGGGTAGACTCAGATGTCGCACTTTGGTTCTCGAGGATTGTTTGAATTTGTCTCGACTTCAGTTTGGAAGTGCGTCTGAGTAACTGGTGTCCCAGCCGTCGCCGGGCCTGGTCTGCCTGCGTACCTGGTGCTGAGCTGGCCCCTCAGGTCTCCACACACACGTGCCTTCTGCTTCCCATGGGCTCTGGCAGGTGAGGACGTGGGCCTTCCACCACTGATGGTGTTTAAAGAGGCATTTGCAGTGGGTCAGTCATGGGATGGAATTCTGTCATTCTGTCTCCAGCTTTGTCTGTCCTCCGCAGTCCCCAGGCCCTCACACGTCTGGGTTGCGTGTTCAGTGACCTTCAGGTTGGTAGAAATCCTGACCCCTGTCCTCTGGCGTCAGTGGCTGACGTGTGTACTTGAATAGGAGTTGTAGTAGCAGACCTCCCTGCGTGCGGTGGACAGTGCCTGTCTCCTGTCGCACGGGACAGCCCGGGAAGGGCTGGACGAGGACACAGCTCCTTGATTGCGGGCAGACTGTGGAGTTATTTCAGAAACCTGAGATGGGAGACCCGGGAGTGGCCGCCCTGGGGCTCTGCTCCTGCACGGCATTCTGTGGGGTGGGGTCACCGCCGAGCTGAGGGCGAGCTCTGGGGACCCCAGCCCGGCTTCGTCCCTGCCATCCTGCACTGGGCCACTAGGGGCTGCTGTTGGGTCGTGGAGGGAGGGGAACAGGTGCAGGTGTATGCACCTGACTGGGCAGGACCCTGGGGGACAGCGCCTGGGCGCTCAGACCACCCCTGTCCAGGGCAGGGCTGCCTCTGGTCCGAGCCGAGGGCCAGTGGTGACCCAGTGGACTGCGGGGAACCTCTGCTGGCCTGTCTGAGCTGTTGCTGCCCATGCTGTTCACAGGCTCCTGGGCCCCCCTCCTCCCATGGCTCCGACCCTGGGGAACCCGAAGGCTGCGCTACCCTAGGTCCCCCAGATCCTCATCTTGGGGAACAGTGAGGTCACTGGCTGTGCTGCCCAGTGTCCACCCATCTCCCGTGTCCACCCACCTCCCTCCACTCCTGTATCCTCTCCACCCAGCTGACCACACCCTCTCCACATACCACATCCTCTATCCTACTATGGTCCCTCCATGATCACATCTCTCACCCCGCCACGGCCCCCTCCTGCTACGGCCCCCTCCTGCCACGGCCCCCCTCCTACCACGGCCCCCCTCCTGCCACGGCCCCCTCCTGCCACGGCCCCCCTCCTGCCATGGCCCCCTCCTGCCACGGCCCCCTCCTGCCACGGCCCCCCTCCTGCCACGGCCCCCTCCTGCCATGGCCCCCTCCTGCCACGGCCCCCTCCTGCCACGGCCCCCGCCACTATCGCATCTCTCACTCCTATTGCAGCCTGTGACTGACTCCCCTGTTCACACGAACCCCAGCCCCCTGTACACCCCACCCTGGTGAGCATTTGGAGCCGAGAGGAGAGCGTGAGCTGTGGGGGGCGGGCCGTGGGGACATGGTGGGTCCACAGTTCCCAAAGGTCACACAGCAGTGCTGCCAGGGGCGGGGCCAGCAGGTCGGGTGCCGCTGGTACCAACTGGCAGGTCTGGTCCATGGGGCCCCTTTGCTGCCTGGGGAGAGCGAGAGTGATGTGGGCTTGTGATGACCTGGGGACCCTGGGCCAGAACTGCCCCTTCCTTTCCTGGATCCCTACAAGTCACTCCCCCTCATCTCCGCTCCCCCTCATCCCCTCTCTCCTCCCCCCTCTGCTTCCCTGTATTTGTTCCCCCGTCTTCCCTCCCCACCTCCCTCCCCCTCATCTCCTTGTCCCCTCATCTCCCCTCTTGTCTCTGCTGCCCCTTCACCTCTCCTCCCCCTCACCTCTCCCTTCATCACCGCTCCCCCATCTCTGCTCACCCCTCGTCTCCCTCCCCCCTCGTCTCTGCCCCCCCCAGCTGAGAGTGGACCTTCTCACCCCGAGGCTCCTTGTCCCCCTTCCACCCGGCAGCCTGTCACAGCCCTCAGCGTGTGGGTCTTTGTAGTGGTGACCTCTCATGGCTGACCCCCCACCTCTGTCGCCCACAGTTGGGAACGGGCAGGTCCGTCTCCGAGACTGGAGGGAGGAGCAGCCGCTGAGCTCGCCGGACGCTCGGACCTTCAAGACCCGGCTCTGCTGGTTCTTCATGCATCACCCTGACGGCTGCGCCCTGCCCGCCCCCCGCTGCCCCTTTGCCCACGGGCCCGAGGAGCTGCGGCCTGGCCGGAGTGAGAGGAGGGCCCGGCCGGTGCCACCTGAGGCTGCTGTGTCTATGGAGGCCTGACGGCGGGCAGGTGGCACCCAGACTGTGCCAGGTCCCGGGAGGACGATGCCCTGCACACTGTCCTGTCACTCACCTGAAGCGGCCCGCTGTCCTACCTGCCCCTGTCCCTCTCCCTTTCCTGAGATGGGGACTCAGCCCCGCTGGTCCAGGCTGGCCTGGGGAGGGCTTTCCTCTTCTCCTTGATAAACCTGGTGCTTGTCCTTGATTCCCGTGTCCTTGTTGACCCCCTGCTGCGATCACCTGCTTGGCCTGTGGGGTCAAGGCTAGGTCAGCCCCCCGGGAGGACAGAGGCGTGAGTTGGGGGAGTCGAGGATGCTGGGATAGGAAGGACCTGGGGTAGCCTTCCCTGCAGCCCCTCAAGGCTTGGGGTGGGAGGAGGCTAGGACAGTGAAGGATGGGACAAGGTTGGTCTTCCCCCTCCCCTGCTCCCTCCAGGCCTGGGGAGAGGAGATGGGAATTCCACCAGGGGTGGGGCTCCTGCGTCCTGAGCACCTGGGGGTCAGCAGTGGCTAAAACAAGGCCTTGGCTAGACAAGTGGCTGTGGGCGGGCCCAGAAGGCCCGAGAACTGAACCCTCATCAGGACAGTGGGAAGAGGAATCCAGGCCGGGTACCCCCCCCAACCTCAAGTTATAACATGTCAGACTCAGCTCCCCTCTCTGGCGTCTCTGTTGCAGCCCTCACCCCATGGCAACCCCCTAGGTCCACCTGTTCCCCTGCTCCCCATCCCAGCAGTCTTAGGGACCCTACACCCCAGCTTAGCAGAGCCATTTCTCAGGGCCTTGGACCCCAAGCCATAATCCACAGTCAGTGGCACTTGGTGTCTCGGACCCCAAACACATCGTGGGTGGTGAGCCCTGGCGGGGGTCACCTGCCCGCCCCCAGGCCTGCCCTGGTGGGGTCACCTGCCCGCCCCCCCGCCCCTCACCCCCAGGCCTGCCAGTGCGTGTACTTGTTTGAACTTTGCCTGCAGTACTGCTTCCAGTCAAAACACAAAACCAGAGCCGTGCAGTCATGGAGCCCCAGGCAGGGCTTGGCCACAGCTCAGAACCTTCTAGAAGCAGACCCACCGGGCCTGGCGTTGTACTCGGTTCCCTTCCCAATCCTGCCTGTTCTCTAGCTGTGTGCTGACACTGGGGTATCTGTGACCCTGCATTCCAAATGACCACTGTCCTGATGGTCCAGCTTCGTCAGGAGGCCCTATGCTGAAGATGATTAGGGGAGGATTCTGGGGGCGAGGTGAGAGTCTGGGTCCTGCAGTTCAGAATCCTAGGCCAAGGTCAGATGGGGCAGAGGTGGCCCTGGGGGGAGAATGCTGACCAGCTCAGCAGGGCTGTACTGGAGCCAGGCAGCCTGGGCTGAGTCCGCCTCCACGTGGCTCCAGGGCCATGGGCCAGGCCTGTGTTGGCCTCCAGCCGGCTAGGCTTGGCCCCAGGCTTCTGCACCCCCCCACACACGCCCCAGCTGCTTTCTTCCCCCCTCCACCTTCTTCCCCGATTGCCTTCCCCCCCCAGCCGCCTTTTCCTCCCCCAGCTGCCTTCTCCCACCCCCTCATCCCCCACTGCCTCCCCCCTCCCCCAAGCTACCTTCCCCCCCTTCCTCCAGCTGCCTTCCCCCGCCTCTTGGAGACATCTGGGCACAGAGCGGAGCTCAGACCTGCTGCCCTAAGGTGAAGCCCGGTTATGTCCCTTCTGACAGCCTGGCCTGACCCGGTGTCCCCCAGGGGTAACCCCTCTCCTCCCTGAGTGAGAGGCAGGGTATTTTTGAGGAGAGGACCTCCCGCCCTGACCCCTGCAGTTGGCAGTGTCCCAGCCCCCCAGCACCGACGGTGTCCTCCTAGAAAGCGAGTCTTGGACCTGGCCTCTGTGTCCATGGAGAAAGGCCTAACCAAGGTTTTCATAAGGTGGGAGGTGCAGGGGCCATCGCCCACCTCCTAATGTCTCAGGAATGCCAGGGGGTCTCTGTAAGGGGGGTGTATAGAGAAAGCACGCCACATCCCTGTCTTGAGAACACTGGTGTCCCTGCAGAAGGGGGTAGAGGGGGCCATCACCTCACTTCCCTGTGGCTCCACGATCCCTGCACGAAGGGGATGCAGAGTCCGATCACCCCATCTCCATGTGTCTCAGGAACACCTGGGTCCTTATAAACGTGGGGTCACGTTGTGGGTCATGGCCTTGGGTCCCTGGTTCTCACTGGTGCAGCAGAACCTGTGTGAGGTGACCCAGCATCTCCCCTTGGAAAACAGGGTATAGAAGCCCCCATGATTTCTCAGACGCCATGGGGTCGTGAGGTGACGCAGGGTGCTGACTTCGAGTGACCTCAGGCTGTCTGATGGCCTGTCTGGTAGCCTCAGGGTCCCCTGAAGCTGCTCTCATGGACCAAGTGTCCCCTAACCCCTTGCAAGGTGGTGTCTTGTGTTCATGAAGGCGGAGCAGAGCAGCATGCGTCCCTGAGTTGGAGTTTGGCTCCTGGGATCTTGTTAAACTGGGATCTGTGATTCAGTAGCTGGTGGAGAGGCAGGCTCTCGGAACTGGGTCAAATGGGAATGAACTCTGTGAAGATCACACGAGACGGAGGGAGCGCTGCTCAGCTGTGAGGAGACCGTGGTTCCCTGACACAACACGGGTGAGCTCAGTCAAGTGCCGGGGACTCAGGAGTCCCGTGTGTGACAGGACCCGGCCTGTGCTGTCCTCACCATCCAGACTGCTCAGCCCTGAGGAGACGTGGTTCCCTGATCCGGGCTGTAACCCGGGTGAGCTCAGAACCAAGTCCGTGTTGCCCTGTCCGCCTGTCGTGTCAGGCTCAGAGTCGTGGTCACTGTCAGTCCATCCGATTGACGGCCTTCGTCTTAGGCTGGCCTTCCTCGCTAAGCCTGATGCCATGTAGGGACTAGGCCCTTCTGAGGGTGTGTGTGTGTGTGTGTGTGTGTGTGTGAGTGAGTGTGTGTGTGTGTGTGTGAGTGTGACGAGGTGAACCGAGTCAGAAGGACAGATACTCTGTGGTCCCACTTCCGTCCAGGGTGGACCACTGTAGACAGCCCGGGGGGGGCAGGCTGGGGAACGGTGGGGTCACTGCAGTGGGGGGAGTTCTGGGAAGTGCCCAGACTGTGCATCTGAAGATGATGAACACGGTGAATTTTACTTTGTATCTTGTTTTATGTGCTGTCGAGTTGCCTGCGACTCACGGTGGCCCTGGGTATAATAGCACTAACCCCTGCTCTATCCTGTGCCAATCCTATTGTCTCCGACACACCCACCCCCAGAACCCCGGTCACTGAATCAAGTGTGTGTATCTTAACCATCCTTAAAGATGGGCACGTTCTCATTACTGTGTGTTGATGGGTTCCCACAGTGTCTGTGTGGCTTCCCGTTGCTGTGTGATGGTTTGCAGGTGGCCACGTGGTGGACCTCACTCGCACTGTCCTGGACCTGCTTGTGCTCAGCCTGGTGGTCAGCATCAGGCTGGCCCTCATCCTCGGTGCAGGGGCAGAGCCGGGGGCACTGTGGTGTCACTGGACTGCTCGACACCACCAGCTCCCCGCGAGGGCTGGCCAGCAGACAGTTACATTGTCACAGTCACAGGGTTCAAGGCCGAGTTTAGGAGGCCGGCTCTGGCGGGGCTCATTGTGAGCTGCGGCCATGGTCCCTCTGTTCTGCCTCGGTGTTTGCAGCCTCTGGATCTCATCTGCTGCGTTTCTATCTTAAAGGGGATTCGCGCAAAACACATCCTACATGGACGGGGCTTCGTGAACATACTGTCCTGCTTGCAAGTGTGAGGACACCGATAAGCAGGACAGCTGCCCACTCAGTCCATGTAGCTGTTGTCCACCCAGCTGCCATTCACCCATCCCCCTACCTACACATCCGTCCACTCACCCCCTTATCTACCTGTCTGTCCATCCATCCCCCTACCTGCCCATCCATCCACTCACTCTCTTACCTGCCTGTCTGTCCATCTGCCGTTCTGTCCATTAGTCCACCTGTCCATCCATCCAACACCTCAGTGTACCCACCCATCCCTCTATCTGTCCATCCATCCACTCACTCTCTTACCTGCCTGTCTGTCCATCTGCCGTTCTGTCCATTAGTCCACCTGTCCATCCATCCAACACCTCAGTGTACCCACCCATCCCTCTATCTGTCCATCCATCCACTCACCCTTTTACTCATCTGCGTGTCTGTACATCTATCCGTCCGCCCATCCACACATCCATCTCCAGCCACCTACTCACACATGCATGATTTGATTGATTCTGTCTGACAAGAAGAAAGCTGTACCCCAGAAAGCTGTTGTCAGAATTGTATCTTTTCTCTGTACCTTCGATCTATGCTGAACAATTCATTCAAGAAGCTAAACTTTTTTAAAAGAATGTGACATCAGGATTGGCGGAAGACTCAACAACCTGCGTTACGCAGATGACACAATCCTGCTCGCCGAAACTGAGGAGACCTGAAACAGTTGGTGTAGAAGATAAAAAAACTGCCCTCTTCTGAAACCGACCTGCGGGTTCACACGTGTTCTAGAGAGGGATCTGTGCGGATTGAGAGAGGGACAGGGACACGAGAGAGGAGGCCAAGTCAAAGTTCTCTGATCAAGCCTCGGAGTTTATTTGAGGAATTCTGCAATAAACAGGCAGCTGAGGAGGCCGGGCTGCCAGGGAACCCAGCCCTAGGCTCAGTTTACAATAGAGAGGGAGGGGCGTGCCCCGAGGTGTTGATTTACAGGTGCTGATTTAAGAGGTAGGTGTAATCCCAGAGATGGGGGGGGGGCGGCTGTATGTCAGAAGAAGTGTTATATCTGTGGCAGAGTTAAGATCTACTCAGGATGGCTTCCTACACTGTTCAATTTGGATTATATTTCAACATCCAGAAGACAAAAGTCCTCACCAATAGGCTACATCATGATAAAGAAAATATTTAAATTGTCCGTAATTCACCTCTCTTAGATACACAGCACCCTTGGAACGAGCAGTCAGGAAATCAAAAGATGTGTTGCATTGGGA